GAGGGCATCAGCAAGGATGCCTCCTTCCCAGAGGACATTGCCCTCAGCACTGAACCCAGAAGTTCTTCTTAAATTCTGCCCTCCGTGGATACAGCCGCTCTGCCTTACTCAGGAGTTTGGAAGATGGAAGAGATTTTAGGCAAGGGGAAATACTGCCCTCTACAGGGCATGCGAATCTTAGCATTTCATAGACCAGTACCCACGGCACCCCACCCCACCCTACCCCTCAACGTGAAATTTCCATTCTTCTCTTATTTTGAAGTTAATACAGCAAGTGACAATCTTGTTGGCCAGAATGATTTCTCAACATTTATTGCTCAAGTAAAAAAAGAGACAATACCTAGAAAAGCTTTTAAAGTTCCTTTCTTTGTCAAAGGGGACCCGGGGGGGGGGGGGGGGGGGGGAGTGCCTGATTCAACACTGTTGCCCAAGTCAGATGAGCACGCGATGTTTTGGACCTGAAGTTCATGAGGGCCCTGAGGGCTTACTGCAGAGGCTGAGTCCTATCAGCCCACCCCCTAATACCACCTAACTGATAGGAAGAGGGGTAAGGTGACTCCCATGTCCTTGATGTGCAGCCCCACATGTCAGCTGCAGTCCAGCTGCTGCACAAGTGCCAGGTTAAACTAACGTGTGTCATGACTTTGGTCTCTGACAACCTTCAGCGAAGTAGAATCAGTTCCCTCCATGCTCATGGGGTCAGAACAGCAGAAGCTTCAGAGAAAATGAAGGAGAAGTGCTACTTATTTTTTTCAGATGTAAGTTAAAGGAACAGTCAGAAGCTAAACATAGTCTGAAAAATAGTGGATTGATTGGAAATCAATATATTGGAAATATATATATTGGAATATATATTGGAAATCAATATATTGGAAATAGGAGAAAAATAAAATAAATTAGTCTTAAAAGTGTCGATTGTGTAGACTCTCGTACTAGCAGGGGAACTTGGACTGAAAGCAAAATATACAAGGTAAAAACTTCAGAAGTTCTTGGGACAATTATCAAATACACTGAGAATAGTGCTGGTCCCTTAATTATAAATTTCATAGTGTGTTATGGTTTAGATGTCAGGTGTCCCCCAAAGGCTCACGTGTCAGAGAATGTAAGAAAGTTTAGAGGTAAAATGATTGACTGGGTTAGGAGAGTCTTAACCTGATCGGTGCATTAATCCCCTGAGAGGGGTTAACTGCAGTATCTGCAGGCAGGCAGGGTGGGGCTGGAGGGGGTGCTTTGGGGTCTAGATTTTTATATCTTGTCCTTCTGGAGCACAGCTCTCCTTCTGCTTCCTGGCGCCATGTCCCGGGCTGCTTTTCTCAGCCACTCCTCCTGCCATGACCTCCTGCCTCACCTCACGCCCCCAGGAATGGAGTTGGCCATCTTTGGCTGAGACCTCTGAAACCGTGAGCCCCCCAAATAAACGTTTCCTCCTGTAAATGTTCTTGTCAAGTCTTTTTGTCACAGCAGTGAAAAAAAAGCTGACTTTAGCATAATGTAAATCTAAGCCTTCGCCTAGGTCAGGGCTTCCGAGGAAGGGTTGGTCATACGTGTTCGGTCAAGCAGAAGAGTTTTTCGGAGTGGTCCCTAATTATGTTTCATCTGGGGTCTTTAGAAAAGTTGGCCTTGGAGGGTCAGCTCCTGCTCCCATTTTTTTTTTTCTTTTCGAGGTCTATGTACCATGGTTCCCAAGCCTCAGTGTGGTTACCCGCCTCCAGTGACTCACCAAACCCTGTGGAGTGTCCTCGATATCGTGTCTGTCTCTCGATCTGTCCCTTCCTTTGTATCGCCAACTCCCTCGGAGTATGTAGCAGAGAAAGGACAGGAGGAGGGAATGAGTATTTGTGACAATCAAATTAATCTGCCACAATGTCAGTTCACCCCCACAACAGTCCTGTGGGGAACTGAGACTTGGAAAGTTTGAGGAGGTTGCCAAGCACCCCCCAGCCCATTTGTGGTGGAGGGACAGTACTCCAGGCCAGGTCTGTCTCCTGTTCCTGGAAAGTCAAGACCAACACACACAGAGCACTTGTTCCGTCAACCTCCGTGCATGGAAATTTGTGTTTCTTGGCACATTACCAGCTAAAAGCATAGCCTCGGTTATTAAAAGAGTGAATGTGACATTTAACAGGGATGATAAATGGGGCTGGCTGGACAAGATCCAGGGTCCCCCATGAAAAACTAAGAGAAGTCCACCTGGGTGAACAGTGAGGCGGGGCTTGGAGGGTCTCAAAGGAGTTGACACCGCATCATTATGAAAACTCTCCACAGGCAGGTGGCCGTGGCATGTGCCTGTAACGCCAGCTACTCAGGAGGCTGAGGCAGGAGGATCACAAGTTCAAGGCCCAGGCTGGGCAATATGGTGAGACTTATCTCAGGAATAAATCAATACTCTTGAAATAATGAGCCGTGAGGGATTCTGCAAGCCAGATTCCACGAGGATTTTCCTGTTGCTTGAAACAGAAAATCCAGTTCAAGCCAATAAGAGATACGTCTTTTTTTGGTGGTGCTGGAGATTGAACCCAGGGCCCTGTGCATGTGAGGCAAGCGCTCTACCAACTAAACCATGTCCCCAGCCTTCAATGGTTCCTTTGATTTGAGGTCTGAAATGCTTCAGGTGCAGTCAGGGCAGGGCTCAGCTCCCGTTTCTCCATAACTATAACATCTCTGGCCTCCCCGAGGTACCAGCCTCATGCTCCAGGTAGCAACCGCTCTTCAAGACGGTTAACACCTGCAGAAGCCCTAAGCCTCCCTCTCTGCTGTTCAATGTACAGGGGACGTAAGCACATGTGTAAGATTTAATTTTCTAGTTAGCTCATTAAAAAAATTAAAAGAAACGTGAAGTTGACTTCAAGAATATTTTATTTAACCCATTATGTCCAAACTTTTATATTTCCATAGAAAATCAATGTAAAAATTATTGAATGCGTATTAAACATTCTGGGACTTTTGTGATGTATCCTAGACAACAAGGAGGAGCTTCCTCAAACTGACTGGGTGTGTGTCTTCTATTCTTTGCAGCTTCAGCCCTAAATCATCTAGCAGCTTGATTGTTGACTTAGACTTTCCTTCGCAATTGCAGTTTACTCAATGAAATGATCTCTGTAGTGTTTCAGTCTTTTTTTCTAACAAAGAATCTCTTTTTTATTCAACTGTGTTATCCCGCTCTGTCTTTTTTTTTTTTTTTTTTTTTTTTGGTACTGAGGATTGAACCCAGGGGCACTTAACCACTGAGGCACATCCCCAGCCTTTTTTTTTCCTTAAATTTAGAAACAGGCTGTCTCTGAGTTGCTTAGGGCCTTGTTGAATTGCTTAGGGCCTTGCTGAGTTGCTGAGGCTGGCTTTGAACTTGCGATCCTCCTGCCTCAGCCTCCTGAGCCACTGGTATTACAAGCATGCACCACCACACTTTGCTCTTTATTTTTTTAAAAAACAGGCAAACACGAGTTTTTAGTTCTCTTAGTAGAAAAGTCAGATGAATCATCAGTCATGTATCCACACCCAGATTCGCCCAGTGGTTAATAATCAATGCACTTGTCCTTCACCTGCTGGGTTTCTCCTTTAGCTGTGTATCTTTGGCATCTGGGGGCTCTGTCCACACCTGTGTCCTGCTGGCTGCGTGACACTCCTTCTCCCACCCCTTACCAGATACCAGAGGCCCTCTCATCTCCTCTTCCCTTCAGGTGGGAGCCTCTCCTTCGGGTCTTGCTTGTGCAAGGCCCCCACAGGAGGAAACCAACTTGTGATAAAAAGAAGCCCCTCTGGAGGAATTTCAGAAGTGACCTCCTGGTTCCAGATGCTTCCCCAGCAGGACACTGTGACCTGGATACTCTGAGTTGGAAGAGGAGGGAAGCAGAAAGAGGGACATTTCACACACAGCCCACACGAGCAGGAAAGAAACCGCTCAGGGACAGATGCACTGTCTGGCTCCAAAAGACAGCTGAGGTCGGGAAGCCCCATGGATGGTTCCAGAACACAGTCCTGGAGAGCAAGCGGCTCAGTCTTTTTTGTTTGTTTGTTTGTTGGATATACAGGACAGTAGAGTGTGCTTTGACATGTTGTACAGACAGGGGGTATAAATCATTCTAATTAGGATCCCGTTCTTGTGATGAACATGACGTGGAGTTGCCCTGGTCGTGTGTTCACCTATGAACTTGGGAAAGTTATGTGTGATGATTCCACTGTCTCTCCTATTCCTATTCCTCCTCCCTGCCCTTCATTCCCCTTTGTCTAATCCAATGAACTCCTATTCTTCCCTCTTCCTTCTTTTGTGTGTCAGCATCCACGTATCAGAGAGAACATTCAGCCTTTGGTTTTTGGGAACCAGCTTATGTCATAACTTAGCACCATAGTCTCCAATTCCATCCTCTGACCTGAAAATGCCATGATTTCATTCGTCTTTATGGCTGGGTAATATTCCATTGTGTATATGTACCACATTTTCTTTATCCATTCATCTGTTGAAGGGCACCTGGGCTGGTTCCGTTGCTTAGCTATTGTGAATTGAGCTGCTATAAGCATTGATGTGGCTGCATCACTGTAGTACGCTGATTTTAAGACCTCTGGGTGTAAACCAAGGAGTGGGATCGCTGGGTCAAATGGTGGGTGCCGCAGTCTGGCTGGGCACAATCAGGAGCCACTTGTCAAAAGAAACTAACTTTATTTTTAGAACCACACACCAAACCACACAGCTCCTCAGGAAAAACCCTCAGAGCCCAACTGCCACCACCGGCTTCCCCAAGCCTCTCTCTCCCACACAAGCTTCTCTCCACCTCCCACAAGCCTCCTGCTCTTGAGGCAGATTGGCTGGGTCACGTGGGCGGAGCCAAAAAAGTCCCCCAATGAGCAGCTCCGTGGTCTGAAAGGGCAGGGAAACAGCCCAATGAGCATCACCGCAGAGGAGCCAATCAGCTAGATGTTGCTGGGGCCGAGGAGCCAATCAGCTAGATGTTGCTGGGGCCGCTGTGAGCCAATCATCAGCCAGCAGCTGGAAGTTTGCTGGCAGCTGGAAGTTTGCTTGGGCCCCTTCGGCTGTGGCTCTCAACAGGTGGGTCCATTCCAAGTTTTCTGAGGAATCTCCATAGTGCTTTCCAGACTGGTAGCACCAATTGGCCATCTCACCAGCAATGTATGAGTGTGCCTTCTCCCCACATCCTCGCCAGTGGCTCAGTCTTTCCGTTTCTAACCCAGGGGTGTTTCCATGGTGAAAGCAGAAGATGAGAGAGGTGGGTGAGCCGTGGGGTGAGGAGAGTTCTCTGCCGGAAGGAAACACAAGGGTGCTACACGGAACAGAGAGAGGAATGGCAAAGCCAATGGAGAAAAGCTCAGAATAGAGCTCGTAAAAGGATTTGAAGGCGATATCAGCACAGAATCCCCCACTTCAGAACAAGAGGAGGAGGAGGATGCATGGTATTTCATGGGGTTGAGGCCGAGTTCTCCAACTCAGACCTGGTGGAGTTAAGCAAATCACTTCAGCAACAAAATACACCACTGCTTTGTAAGTTTCATTTTTCTTTTTTGGGGGGCAGGGGGCAATACCAGGGGGGATTGAACTCAGGGACCCTCGACCACTGAGCCACATCCCCAGCCCTATTTTGTATCTTATTTAGAGACAGGGTCTCACTGAGCTGCTTAGTGCCTCGCTCTTGCTGAGGCTGGCTTTGAACTCTCGATCCTCCTGCCTCAGCCTCCTGCGAGCACTGGGATGACAGGAGTGCTCCACAGCACCAGCTTCGTTCTTTCTTTAAAATATGCCAACTACATGTTAATAATTCATTTGTTATTTTTGTCCTTTACATTTTCATAAAATCAAATGGGGTTTTTCTGTAGTAAGTACCTTAGTCATCGACACCAAAGGGAAGGCCGAGGACAAAAGGGGCACAGTGACTTTTCCAAATTGCCATCCTGGTCGGTCATATATATATATATTTTAAGTGATTTTCATGAAATGTTCGTCTTCATCACCTCTGGGTGTGGGTAGTATTGAGAGTATCATGAAATGCACCAGAGACCGTGAGCAGTTCAGAAAGCTGGAACCACTGCTTTATTGAGAGCAGGCCCTTGCTGTATGTGCAAACTCAAGCCTATTCAATGATTAGATCTCGTAATCAGGAAAACCTAAGAGAAAAGGGAACTTTAGAAGGTCATGATGCTCCGGTTCTCATCATTACACGGCCGCTCTGCACACATCCATGTCTTTATCCGAGTTGACCATATGCACCTGATGTGGGCTTTGCAACAGAGAAGTGAATAGGAACCACTGTAGTGTGTAAGGGTGTGCATGCCACAGGGTACGTAGGCGATTTCTTTTGGGTTTGTTATTCTTATATCAGGAAAATATACCCAGCATGTTCAGATGGTGACGGAAGAGGGGAATGAACAGTTGAAGTTTAGGAAATGCCAAAATATCGAGTTAGAGGAGTCAAGGAAATTGGAGTCACATGCCAGGAATTGTGTCCCCTCCACCATAATAGAGAGGCTGTAGCTCCTCTTTCTCCCTTCATAGACTCTCTGGGACATTCCTGGCCACAGAATTCCAGAGGAATTCAATTTTCTCTTTTTTTTCTTTCCCACTGAGCACCCACCACAAGAGTCTTGGCTGCCTCGTGTTCTGCTCCTCTGCTTTCCGAGGGTTCATGGAGAAGGTCCTCTCAGAGTTCCTGACCACAGATGCCGCCTCAACATCCCATGAGGTTTTAAAAAAAAAAATCATCAGGACAATGGAGCCCTTCCCTATTTTATTTTTCAATAGATCTGAATGGGACAGTTACCCAGGATAACCATTTCACTCTGTCAGTCTCTGCCAGAAATTCTAGACAGAAATACACCAGCTTCAAAGGACCTAGGTGCCACTCCCCAGAGGAAGCTATGGCCAGCCTGTCCAACCGCCTTACACCACAGGGCAAGCAGGTCCAGTTGGACAATTGTGCACATATGGGGACTCACAAATGTCCACCCTGGGAAAATACCCTATTTGTTAGGAAACTTATTCCACATATCTTTGTCTTGCTGGCACTTGGGGGGAAGTCACGCTGTGCATATTGTAAGCCAGTAACAGCAACACATCCGCATCTAGCCCCGTGATATATGGTATAATTAGAATTGCAATGCACCTGATAGAACCTGAAATGTTGTCGAGTCTGTAGGATAACAAAACAAGTGAAGAATCATTCATACATCGTCATGTCAAAAAATAAACTTTCTACCTGTGCCAATGTCGCTAACTGTGATGGTTAGCTTCATGTGTTGGCGTAGCTAAAAATCCAGTTATTTAAACAAACACAGGTCCAGGTATTGATGGGAAATTATTTTGTAGGCACGGTTAACTTTTACAGCCAGTTGATTCTAAGCAATGGAAATGACTATGGATAATGTGAGCAGATCTCATCCAATCAGATGAAAGCCCTTCAAGCAAAAAAAAAAAAAAAAAAAAATCCCTGAAGTTTCCTGGAGAAGAATTTTCCATGAGACCAACATCAATTGCTACTTGAATCCACAGCCTTCCAGGGCCATCCTATGAAGTCCAAGCTTGCCGGCACCCACCTTTGCATGAAACAATTCCTTAAACTAAATCTCTTAATGGTCTTAATGCTATACATGCATATCCTATCGGTGCTGTTTCTCTGGATAGCCTTGAATGTTATGCTGCATCTCGCTAAAAATAATTCAGGATCTCATAGATGCAAGTCAGACCTGACTGACGGGCTTGTTGCTGCCAAAGAAAAGCAGTCCTATTCACCTCACTCTCAGACCTGGTCCTCCAAGTAGAGATCTGCAGTGCTCACACTCAACTCCAGGTGGCGCTCTTGTTCTACGGGAAAGAGTCAGGCTCTATGGTTGCTGGACACACCCCAGCCTCGTTCCCTGATTTCTAGGCCTTTCAATGACTCAGCAATGGGAGAGAGGAAGTACAAAATTAAGACAGCAGAAACTCCCAGCGTGCCCAATGTACAGAAGCTAACCAACAGAAAATTCAGTTTGGGATATATATATATTTCTTTTGGCAGAGTGTGTGTGTGTGTGTGTGTGTGTCGGGTGGGGGGGGGGTCTCATCTCTGGGAGGTTGTAGCAGTGAGATGGGGCAAAGGACAGGTAGATGATTATAAAAAAATTAAATTAAATTAAATTAAAAAAATGAGTTGCTAACAGCTAAACTCCAGATAGCACTTCCCTGCTCAACTGGTTACCAATGCCTGAATCCTCCTCCCAACCCACAAGGAGTTGCTAATGAGTGCCCCTTGGGTGGCTCTTTTCCTGCCTTTTGGTCACTTAGGCAGGAAAGAAAGGGGGGGTCCTATAAAAAAGGCAAGACACCCCCAGTCCCTTGGACACCAGCCCTGAGTCCCAGCTCCTCTCTGGAGAAGTCTGCTATCTCTGTTCTGTCTCTTAAAACTTGCTTTCTGTGATTGCCTCATTTCTCCTGTGTTTAATCTTCAACCCTGGGGGAAGGAGGACCCGACGCTGATCTCCAAGACCAGTATCAACAGGATGTAGGCAAATAATCACTTGGATAGTCCCAAAAAATCCCCAATAAATAGAGACATTTGCATCCCATTTTGTTTTGTCCACTATAGAAGAAAAGCCTCCTAGTAGCTGTTGTACATTTTCTTTCCTCTAGAATCTTCAAGATTTTCTTTGGGGAATTTGAGCCACTGGAGCCCAGGGGTGCCGCATGTGTGCCTGCTTGTTTATGCACACAGACCATGACTCATCGGGACCCCAGGATGTCGGCTACCCACAATCCTGGGGGACAGACTCTGTTGAGCCTCTCTGCAACCAACCCTGCCCTCCTCCTGCCGTTAATCCTGCTAGTGGTGGGACCCTACCCTGTCATTAGGCTGTGTACCTAACCACAGAACTCAAAACATTTTAATTGCATGGGCTTGTCTAATCCTTGTGCTATCCTGCAAGAAAAGTTCAAGGTGCCTTCACTTTGCAAATTTCTGGTTTGCATACAGGGAAACCTATGTTGGCTGAACCTTTGAAGGTCACCCAGTGAATCAGAATTAGAATTAAAGACTCTCAGCCTTCGCTCAGAGGTACTAACTTTCCTAAATTCTTCTGGGAAGGCAAACCTCCCTCTCCCCCCTCACCATTAGCCCTTTCCTTACACATCCACATTTGCTTGTTTACTTTTTGGAGTATCCTCATTCACATAACGACACAGATCCACGTCTGTTTTGGCAATATAAAGCAATGTCCAAGGCCGCTGTTACCTGTCATAACCTAAATGTAATTAGAAACATCACCTACCTGTAACATAAGAATCTTTTTAAAAATATTTACAGTTTCCCTCTTAGAGATTCATGAATCAGGACTGCATTTGAAAAGGCCTGAGGAATCCTGTTTAAAAAAAAAAAGAATTCAACTCTATCAACATATTTTCCAAATTTACAAGAATACAGATCATGCACTTTTGCACAGTATACCTCATTTTAACATCACTGGAATAGCCTTTTAACAATCCTGTAAGACCCTTTTGGAAATGCTAAATCAAATTATAATCTCTATGTAGAGTAGGGTTTGGTGCACAGGCAGTGACCATCTGCACTAGTTTTTCGTTCCTATAACAAAATACTAACTTTATCGAGAAAAGAGGTTTACGGGTCATAGTACTGGAGGTTCAGAGCATGGCACCTGCGCCCAGCTCTGGTGAGGGCCTTTCCAGCTGCATCACATCCTGGCGATGGCAACGGTGGGAGCACAAGCAGGAGCAAGTGTTACAGAGCCTGGCTCAGGCCTTTAAAAGAACCCTCTCTTGGAAACTCACCCGGGTCCCACCGGAAATTGCTTCATCTCTTCTGAGGGCACAATCCCGATTGACCTAAGAACTTCTCATTAGGCCCCACCTCTCAAAGGTTCCATCAGCCTCCTGTGGACTTAGCCCAGAGGGTAGGGTGATCTGCTCCTTGGCACGAGGCCTGGGGCGTATCCACCTCTAAGGCCCAAACACATGAAGGGCTGCGGGGCCAAGCAGACTGGACCTTACTGCTGAGGGTTCTGGAGGTTCCAGGACGGTTGATAATGTATGCTGCTGCAGAGCTCTTTGACACAGCCTCCACTACTCATCCTGCCTCCGAGGGATGACGGGGCTTCATCTCCCACCCTTCCATCTGTAAAGAGCCGTCACTCTTAACTCTGAGAGATGACCAGAGGGCATGACGGCTCTGCTTCCACCAGCCTCTCCATCTATTGGAAACATCTTTCAGTAGGTCCTATAGACACCAGTGACTCTCAATAAAAAGACAAGGATCAACTTCCTTTGTTTCCTTTGTCATGAGGGTTCTTTTGAAATAAATGCTGCCAATAGAGCAGACATTGATTGCCACCTATGGTGCTAGGACTTACACGTATTTAATTTTGCACATAATCCTCACAACACTCTTTAAGTTTGATTTTACTAGCCCAATTTTATATGTGGGGAAACCAAAAATTTGAAAGATTTGGAACCTTTCAATGTCATACCACAGTAGGAACTAGAAATTATTGACCCCAAAACAAAACCCTGACCCTGATCCTGACCCTAACCCAACCCTAAGCCTAACCTTGAGCCTCACCCTAACCTAACCCTAACCCTACCCCAAACCATCTTCTGCTTCCAACCTCCACTGTTTCCGTATCCTAAAAGACTTACTCAAATGTGAAATCAAAATATAAGCGGAAGAGGGAAAGGAGGAGAGGAAGGAAGGGAAGAATTAGTCTTTTTTTATTTTTATTTTTATTTTTGAGTTGTAGATGGACACAATACTTTTATGTTATTTATTTATTTATTTATTTATTTATTTTTATGTGGTGCTGAGTTTCGAACCCAGTGCCTCACTCGTGCCAGATGAATACGCTACCACTGAGCCACAACCCCAGCCCCAAGAATTAATCTTTTAAAAATAAATTCCCTTGAAAAAAAATTAAGAAGGATATAATTTCTAATTTGAGTGATGCTGGTAGAAGTTATTTAGGTTAAAATTTAGTATGCAAGACAAATCTTAAGAATAAGACAGTGCCTGTATTCATTATCCATTGCTATGTAGCAAGTTATCTCTACATTCAGCAGCTTGGAACAGCGAATATTTGTTATGTCTCACTGTTTGTAAAGGCCAGAGATCCAGGAGCAGCTTGGCTGGATGGTTCTGGCCCAGGGTTTTCCATGAGGCTGCAGTGAAACTGTTAGCTAAGGATGTCATCTGGATGCTTCTCTGGGGCTGAGGATCTGCTTCCAAACTCATTCTCATGGCTGTTGGCAGAGGCTTTGTCCCTGCTCCACGGGCCTCTACAGTGCTGCTCATGACTTGGCAAGTGGCTTCCCATCGAATGAATAACCCAAGAGAGACAGTGTGACCAAGACAGAAGTCACTATGACTTTCATGATTTATTCTTGAAAGGGACTTGTCCTGTCTTCTGACATATCCTGTGTGGCTGGCAAAATATGGGGGAAGACAACACAAAGAGGTAAGCAGTAGGCAGAGGTCATCGGGCGCCATCTTGGACACTAGCTATGCTCTGGGCAAGCTAAAGACTAACAGGATATTAGCACCACCTGTGAGTCTGGGCCTGTTGGTGAGATCTGGCTCATGAAGTTCAAGTGCTCAGCAGACAAAAATTCACAAAGTGGACTGTGTCAGTGACCCTTGACACAGAAGACAGATATTTACCATTACACACACAGGAGGAGAAACTCAAACAGGCAGTCATTTGTATGCTTAGATGGTGACACGGGAATCACAGATAGATGTGGGTAGAGGGTATGGAGTGATATGGAAATTCCATCTGAAGAGAGATGATTGGGCACATCTCCTCTCAACTGCATCAATAGTAGAATTGCAATCAATGACCAAGGAGTATTATGCCAACCAGCCAACGCTACAAAAGAGGACTTTCTGTTTGTTTTCAGGAGAGCTGGTTGTTAAACACTTATCAGCACACCACTGAAAGAAGCCCAGTTTCATCTTGATCAAGACTCCTCGAAGTCCACACAGTTGTAGATAAAAGTTCTGGTCTTGATGAAAGGACCATGTTTAAACCACATTAAACAGATCAAGTGTCTCACACTTCATTGGTAGCCTGCAATGATGCCTCCTTGCATATTTAAGTTGAACTCTGCAAGGAGAACATTCAATTTTTAACAAATATTTTTTAAATACTATTTTAGTTGTTGATGGATCTTTATTTTATTCATTAATTTATATGTGGTGTTGAGGATCGAACCCAGTGCCTCGCACATG